CCATACACCGTAAGTACTCCCCCACTAAGGTCTCGTATCGTCATCAACTGACGCTCGCAATCTATAACAGCTCCAAATTGGCTCAACCAATCCATGCCCACTATAACACACACGTCCCCCATCGCAATCGGGACCAGATCTATCGGGAACTCCACACCGAAGATCTCAAGAATACATCCTCGAATCACATCCGTGGCATACATTGCTCGCTCGTTAGCAATAGAAACTTGCAGAGGTCGACTCATGGCGTCTCGAAAAATACTGATATGACGACTGAAGGCTAACGACACAAAAGACCGACTCGCTCCCGAATCAAATAACACTAAGGCAGGCACATAATTCACAAGAAAAGTACCTACGCATAACATAATATAAGCATAATATCTCAGACTTAAATAAGTAGAGAGAAGAATACATATCGGCCACAACGTCGGGTGCTACGCGAACCTCCTCCGCTGTCAACTGGAAAGCTCTCCCATGAGCCTTCGGAGCCTCAGCCTTTATCGATCGAACCTCGGTAACCCTAGCAGCAGGTGCAGATCCCTGCGCTATCCCCTGATGCAACTGCGGACACTCGACCTTCCGATGGCCAGTCTGGTTGCAATAAAAGCAAACCATAAATCCCTTGGGGCAATCCTTGGTGATATGCCCCTCCTTGCCACATTTGTAGCAAGCACCCGATCGACAAGCACCCTCATGACCCTTGTCGCACTTCCCACAAGTGCGGCCCTTCTGGCCTCCGGTCCTCAAATCAGTGGGCTTGACCCGCTTGGTTGCCGGCTGAGACTGAGCCGGCCCCCGATCCATCCTCTGAGACTCGGCCTCCTCCCTGGCCTGAGTCTCAAACTCGATCTCCCGCTTCCGGGAATTTGCCTGAAGCTCAGCAAATGTATGGTACGTTGAGTTCGACACGAACTCTCGAATGTCCCTCCTCAAAATGCCTAAATACCAGCTCATTCGTGCCTGCTCCGTCGACACCTGCTTAGGGCAGAACATCGTGCTCTCATGAAACTTCCGGGTAACCACAGTAACCGAATCATTACCCCGCTTGAACCGTTCCCTCTCCACCGGGGGAACATACACATCCCTGAACATGGCGGTGAACCTCTCCCAGGTCACCTCAGAAATCTCTGCTAGAGTGAAGCTCGCCATCACGGACTTCCACCAAGCGAAGCTGGTTCAAAGCGAACCACACCCTCAAGTGTTTTGGACAAGAACACGTATAGAAACATCCCTCAATGTCAGAGATCCACCTCATCGCTGCTATCGGTTCCTGCGTCCCATCGAACTCTGGTGGCTTCGTGTTGCTGAACTCCCGAAACAACAACGAGTCACCTCCCTGAGGTCTGACAGCAACAATAGTTGTGGTAGCTGGAGCAGCTGCGGCCTCAGTCACCGCTGCATACCGCTCATCAAAGGTCTCAATCAGTGTGGTCTGGATGTCCCCAAACATCCCTGGAATCTCAGCCCGGATGGCAGCAGCCACCTCCTCAAGAATCAATCGACGGATCTCCTCGTCACTGACTCCACTGCTCTTAGGTGTGTCGTGCCCCAACCATGATGCCTCTGAAATACAACATAAAAATATCAGATACTTGATCTAGCATACTCACACTCGATAACGCAACCCTACTCGTCCTCCAATACGCAAAGGATTCTTACTTGGGCTGCTCACTGATTCGGTGTCTTCAGTAGTACAGGCCCTATACTACTGACTATACCGCATCTGCATTCACCCCAAGTCCTCCTCCTTGGATCCGGATCGCAAGTACTCTATTCTCTCTATGCATTGACTACTTACTCGCTCTCAAGGTATTTTATAGCAGCAGGATTCTCCTAGGCTAAGGCATCACAAATCAGGCCACTCTAGTCCTAATATGAATACCTAGCCTACTCTAGCATGCATAACATAAGATAACATATCTCATAACACATATTGTAAGGGTATTTTAGGGATTCACCGTTCGGGCGCTGGCTGACCGTACACACTGCTCTGCTCCGTTTGTTTCAAAACTCTTTGCTCTTTTAGAAAATTTAGTTTTTATTGTTGAAAATTTCTCAAATCCTCAGTTTGAGTTCAGATACACCCAAAGGTGCATCTGAGTCCCACAAACCAAGGCTCTGATACCAACTTGTAACAACGTAATTTTTCAAAACAATTTTTCATTTCTTAAAAACATAATTTCATCCAAATCAAACCATAAAAATCCAATGTATCATAATCATAATACAAAACATGTCAAATCCCAAGATCAAATATATCCAAATCCGCCTACGTGTGTGTGTGTACGAGTCATGTCGGCGCCTTCCCACGGTCCTCGCTAGTACCTGAAACACATAACACAACAACTGTAAGCATAAATGCTTAATGAGTTCCCCAATATACCACTTACACACATACGCCCTTCCAGGCCATGACCTTCTGGTCCATGTGTCTTAGGGGACTTCCGTCCCGACCCGGTAAACCTTCCGGTTCCACCCGTGTCGATCTTCCAGTCCATAACTCCCTGACCTTCAGGTCTACATCATAATGCCTTTCGGCCCATAACATAATGCCTTCCGGCCCAAATCAAGCATATCATACATATCGCATACAAAACAAGCAACTTAACATATAATACATATATCTTATAGCATACCAGACCTTCCGGTCACCCATAGGTACCCTTCCAGGTACAGTATAGTGAGAAGAATCACCTCGTATGATGTCTAAGTCTCACGTGCTCGATATTTTTGAATCTCGTAACCTCTACCTAGCCTCACCTAATCACATCAAATAATCATTCTAAATCATCAACGGCTCTCAAGGCTATACTATATTCCTTCTAAAACTCCACAGAAGGGTAAAAGACCATTTTACCCCTCCCTGACCCAACAGTCCACATGTTGACTAAAACCCTAAAAGTCAACAAAAGTCAACAACAAGCAGTATGCGGGGCGTACTCTTGCATTCCAGAAACGGGGTACGCAACCCCTTACGCGACGCGTACTGGGATTACTCCCAGCGTAATGCCCAGTTTCATTGTTCAACACATTGAGGTCTTAAACGGTTAAGACTTGCATCCAAACTTCAGATCTGACCCCTCTAATATGTCTTAAACCATAAAGTTGGAACCTTTAAGACTTTGCATGGCTGTAAAGGTCACTTTGTGCTCAAAACACCTTTCCTCTTTCCATAATGAGACTATAACGCATGCATGCCACAAGATCCACATCCAAGACTCGATTTTTATGACTCCTCAACACATATTACACTAGAAAAGGTCAGATGTATGCTTATGGAGACTCTTTGCACATAAAGTCTCCAACTTTGAACCAAAACCCCTAAAATTGGTCCAACAAGCAAAATTTATGAAGAACAAGGAAAGCTTTGAGCTTTTTACCTCAGGAAGGATCTCCAACCACTGTAGAACTCAGATCTACACTTGTTCTTCAACTTCTAGCTCCAACAATGGCTCCTTCTTATCCTTTTTCACCTTGAAAAGACAACTTCAAGCTCAAAAACTCCCACACAAGCTAAAGCACGAAGCTCAACTCTTTAAGGGCTCTTTCAAGGGTGTATGGTGGCTAGGGCAAAGGACTACATGTTCCTTTTATAGTGCAAGGCCACAAATTAGGGTTTTACATCTGGGCCGGTTACGCCCAGCGTACCCGGATGAACACGCATATAAATTAAGCGCGCGAGTACGTGCGGCGTACGCCCCAGTACGCCCAGCGTACTCACCAATTCATCTTTTCAACTTCAAGGGACTAAAATGCAAACTCTCCAAAATAGAAGGGCCATAAAGCTAACCTGGATTTCGGGCTATTACAGTTTTACTCGAGAGGCAGCGATTTCTCTTCCCGATGAACGATAAGAGGCGACGACCTCTTGTGCTGCTCGCCCATACTTGCGAATTCGGCCACTGGACCATCGATCGACCTTGGGGCTTTTCCTATTCGTATTTATTTTTCTATATCAAACGAGGATCTTCATAGTTTTGTATATATTGTGTGTGTGTGTTTAAGATGATGAAGTTAAAGAACCCAAGTGAAGATTTATATATATATATATATATATATATATATATATATATATATATATATATATATATAGAGAGAGAGAGAGAGAGAAAGAGAGATAGAGATAGAGATAGATAGTGGTGGGCTTTTTTGTTATTTTGAATAAAAATATATAATAAAAATGGAAAAACAAATTATAAGGGCATATTGTTCTTATTAAGTAGATAAGGACCAAAAACAATAGGAATATCCAATTTTGGACTAGTGGTGCACCAAAATTTTGTTTTGCAGTTTGCCCATAAATTAACAAATAATTTAGATAAATAAACAAATGAAACTAATGAAACTTTAATTTTGAAAATTTGAAAGACAAAACTACACAAATGGTCCTTGTGGTATGTCGAAAAATATCACTTTGGTCCAAAAAGGTTTGGACTAGCACTAGTGGTCCAAAGCTTTCATTTTGTTGCGTCTTTGGTCCACTCTGTTCTGATTATTTTCAAAATGACGAATCTACCCTTGTTAATATGATTTTTTTATTTGTTTTTCTGATTTTCTCATTTAAAAAAACAAAACATAAAAATAAATATCTCTCTCTCTCTCTAAAACAAGAAAATAAATATAAATCTCTTTCTCTCTCTCTCTCTCTCTCTCTCTCTCTCTCTCTCGTTTTCTGAAGCAAGAAAAACCAACAATGGGCTGCCACCCACTGCCGACGAAAAACACTGTTGAGGGTGGCTAAAAACCACCGATAGTGAGGCCACCAGAAAACCACCAGGGACCACCGAAACATCACCGCTGCCACCACCCATCTACCCTCCTGCCATTGCCGATCAACCCACCACCCACAACCCTTTCCTTCTTTTTCCCTCTCATCAAACTAGTCGAAACATGAAAGCAAAAGCAGCAGGGCTACCATCGCCTCCCTTCGTTGCTGCTGATGTGGAATCCAATCGGACACCACCAACCTCTTGACACCACATGAAGATCCCACCTCGATGCATGCTCACAACTCAGCTCGTCGAAACCCTAGTTGTAGGGATGATGAATTAGCGATGAGCAGCAAGGCGGCGACTGCGATCTATTGTGGTGGTCGGAGTCCATTCCATCGGCTTCGGTTACTATGTATCTGGTTGGAATTAGCGGAGAAAGTGAATGGTGTGGAGAGGGGCCCGGTGGTGGCCAAAATCTGTGGCTGCGGGTTGTCTTCCTTGCTGGAAAGTCTCCACCTTCATTGGTAGTTTTCTCAATTCAGAAAAAAAACGAAGAAGGAGGGGGGAAATAGATTAGAGGTCAGGGGATGTTGGATGGTGGTGGGTCACGGTGGTAGTGGGTGGTTGAGGGTGGTAGCCCTTGACTGCCCTTGATTCCCTCTTCGATCCTTGACGGTAATTTAGTGAGAGGGAGGGAAAAGGAGGCGAGATGGTGAGGTTTTTTTTTCCAACAATGGTGAAGGAACGGTGCTTTATGGCCGCATCGGGCTTAGTCCAAGAACAAACAACCATCTCGGTCTCTTTCACTCTTCCAGTATACCACCATTTCAGTTCAGAGGGAAAGGATTTCCCGTACCACTTCAATGGGGAAAGTTGACTTTCACACACACACACAGAGAGAGAGAGAGAGAGAGAGAGAGAGATTTATATTTATTTCCTTGTTTTAGAGAGAGAGATTTATTTTTAGTTTTTAGTTTTTTTTTTTTTTTAAATCAGAAAAACAAATACGAAAAAAATCATATTAATAGAGGTAGATTCGTCATTTTGAAAATAATCAGAACAGATTGTACCAAAGACGTAACAAAATGAAAGTTTTGGACCACTGATGCTAGTCAAAATCTTTTTGGATCAAAGTGGTATTTTTCGACATACCATAGGGACCATTTGTGCAGTTTTGTCAATTTGAAATTAGAATGAAATCAATTGATGAAATTGATATGTATTTATTATTATACTTATTGCAATTATTATATTTAAATATTATTTGAAATTTAATAAAATAAAAAAAACCACAAAATGCCATGTGGAAAAAAAATAAAAAATAACGGCAAAATGATATGTGGCTAAATGAATGAAAGTGTGACATATGATAAAAAAAATTCTTTATTTATTAGATAAGATAAATTGATTGACTTTTTTTAACCAATTTAACATGTTAAATAAATGGATTGAACATGAGATAACATATTTAAATTTCAAGGTTTAATATAAAAGACAAAAGTTTAGACTTAACCAAATTTCATAAAAAGAACATTATAGTTTGGATTATTTATTTATTTATTTATATTTAACCATTAAAAGTTTTTTTTTTTTTTTTTCTAAGTTAACCATTTATATTTGTTTTTATATCTAGGGACTTTTGTATCCTTACAAATTGTACAATTACACATATATCATTTTCAAACTATAAAACCCACATTTATATCCAAACTTATAGTTTAATTTGGATTATATAAACTAATATTAAAAAACTTATCTAAAATTTAAAGTTTCATATGGTTTTACCAAAATGCCCTTCCCAAATTAAATATTAACCAACACCCACACCCTCTTCCCCTACGTCTCCTTACACCCAAACCATTCGTATAGATTCCTCAAACCTTCAACAACCAAAATGAATTGATGATTCTTAAAGGGATGTCAACGGGAGCAAATGGGACGGAGATTGCATCTCCCACCCCCACCACCGAAATTTCCTTATGTGCCAGCCCCCGAAATTTCCAGTCTACCCAACCCCGCCCCCGCCTCCGAATTTATTGATTACCCCCACCTCACCCCCCATTTATCTTGGGATATTTTTTATTGGGTTAAAAGAAGGTTTTTTCTTTGGTCTTAATGAAGCTATTTTTTAGGTTAAAAAAATTATTTATAACATAATTTTACATGTTAAAAACAAAAATATTATCACATCTGAATAATGTTATACTAACAACTTAAAAACATGATTTATTACTTATTATTTATTATATTTATAAAATTAATATATATACATATACATAATATATTAACGCCCCCACTCACCCACGGGGAGATTCGAGACGCGGATAAGACTGCCTTCCCCCAAAATTAAAATGGAGGTTGATCTTGCCCCCGCTCCCGCTCCCATTTTTTTTTAACAAATATCTTCCATATGGGATCAGGGCCCCACAGATCGGGATCCCATATGACGTTTTAAAATCCTAGATTCTTAATAACACAATGTGTCATTGCACATGTTAAAGTCACAAATTACTAACATGGCCTTGTATATGCCCTGAATTCTTTATTTTAAGTAAACAAATTTTCTAAATACATAGTCGTTGACTTACGATTACATGAGCAAGAAATTGAACCATATACATTCCGACTTACGCACGAAATTTATTTATTTACGCATGAAACATCCAAGATATTAAATCATAATCTATCTGCCCATGGCAAACTATAGAACACAAGAAACAGAAAAACCATCGCCCGACAATACGTAAAAATGCCTAATATTTAATTTAGAAATTAATATGGAAAATGGTACTTTAGTAAATTGTTATGGAATTTTGAAGTTTAGATAAGTTTTTTAAATATAAATTGATACAATCCAAATTAAATTATAACTTTGGATATAACTCTGAGTTTTATAGTTTGATATATATATATATATATATATATATATATATATATATATATATATATATATATATATATATATATATATATATATATATTAAGTTTGCAAAGGATACTGAAGTAATATTTAAAGTTTGTAAGGATATAGATGAAATTTTTCTTTATATTTTATAGTTTTTTTTCAGTAATATAAAAAAAGGATGATTATTTTTTAGGTAAAAGGAATTTGTTTTTTTTTACTTTCGATCGTTAAATCGAAAAATAAATTTCTTCGAGTAAGATACAAAAAGTATAAATTTTAATGGATTTTATATAATTCAAAGTTTTCTCTTTCTTTGAAAGAAAAAAACTATTATCGGGAAAAAAAAAGTTACCTTTTAAAGGTTAATCATAAGAGAAACTATAATGGTTTTGATAGGATATACCTTTAATTAAATAAAGTTAAAAACCAAGTAAATATTTTGAGGTTAAAAGGAAACACGACTACAAACTTAAATCTCGAATTAGAGTGTGGAGATAAATGTTTGGTGTCCAAATTAAATATGGACTTTACACAACCGGAACTCTTTGAAAGTAGTGATGAACTTTTTAATCGAAAAATTGAATCGAAATCGAAATCAGTTGGAACCGATTAGTGATATTCGGTTTGGTTTCAGGTTCTCTCAATCCATCATTTTTAGTTTTTGGTTCTTTCATTTGTAGTATGATTTGGGAAGATTTTGGTACCAGTATCAAACACTTTCTTAGATAGCACACTTCCTAGTAGAATCGAACATGTTAATGGTATTCAATCTGATTCTCAGTTCCCTGTTCACTCCTTAATCGATTTCCAGTTATTCTGATTTCAGAATCGGTTACCTCCCTATTAGAAAGCAAGAGAGGAACCTTGTGAGTGATGCCCCTGAATAGTAACATGTTTACAAATTTAGGGTTTTGTTTTAATTTATTATAAGATTAAATTAGATACATATTTTTGAAAGGGTTGGTGTGTTTGAAATTATCTAAATACATTATTTGAAACCATGAGAGGTCAACTAAAGATGTAGGCGTATTTGTCACGTCACTTTTAAGGAAAAACTCGTAAAAGAAAAAGTTTTGCTTAGTAGCTTTAACTTTTAGCCGAAAACTACTTTTGTCAAACACTTCTATATAAATAAAAGCTACAGCTTCTGAATTCCAACTATCAACTAACATGTATCAACTTTTAGCTTTTAGCTATCAACTGTCAGCGTACAATTTTCAACTATTAGCTAGTTTTGCTAAACACTCTTGTAGTGTTCGATTGAAGAGGAAAGTTGCAAATAAATAGATAAAGTTAATATTTTCTTGTGAATTTTATAAATATTTAGTTTTATTAATATTAATAAACAATTTCGTTCATTATCATGTACTTCTAGTTTTATTTAGTTGTTATCATTTCCATATTAGTTGTTATCTGTTCTATATCTTCTCCTTAGCTTTATATGTAAGCACCCCATTTGATTGAATGAAATTAAGTTTTGGAGTAATCAATTTCTTTATGGTATAAGAGTGGGTCATATAGATCCTGCAAATACCCTAGGATACCGCCAAAACCATGGTAAGGGAAGCTAGCAAGAACGACAAGGATGATGATCCTCGTGCGGACACCAACTATTCATACTATTTACATGCATGTAAATCACATCCTTACTTACGGAAAACCTAGGGATTGGTTGCAGGAGATGAAGAATTTCCTGTATGCAAAGAACAAAATTGGTTTTGTGGATGGAACAATCAATGCAGCAGAAGAAGACTTACCAGAATTCATGAAGTGGATGCGTTGTGATGCTATGATCAAAGGATGACTCACTACCACCATGGAGAAAATGATCAGATCGAGTGTCAAATATGCAAATACTTCTACAAAATATGAGCTGACTTGGAAGAAAGATTTGGGAAAGAGAGTGCACCCCATGCATACGAGTTAAAAATGCTCTCTCTGGAACGCAACAAGATGGAAGCTTCGTATCATCCCACTATACCAAGATGTGTGGTATCTGGGATGAAATTCAGTCAGTATCTTCAACCCCAAGGTGCACATGTGGCAAGTACACATGTGATCTAGGGAAAAGGTTGATCGAGGCAAAAGAAAAAGAAAGATTATACAAGTTTCTTATAGGGCTTGACACCATTGTTTCAACCATAAAAACTCAGATTCTTGCATCTAAACCCACTCATACTCTCGTTATTGCATATCATCTTATTTCTTAATATGAACAACAGAGAGCAATCTCAATAATGAATAAACCGTATAAGATGCTGCAACATTCCAAACCTTCGTACAAAGTAGGAGAGAAATGATGATTTAACCTAATGTTTAACGAATGAAAAGTGCAACAAAGGACGAGCATTGCAGTTTCTGTGGTAACAATAGCCATAATAAGGATGGGTGTTTCAAGAAGATTGGTTACCCGTAGTAGTGGCCAAGTAAAGGTAAGAAGGAGAAGGGGAAATACAAGGCAACCCTGGTAGATACGGAGTCAAGTCCTATATAAAGACTCATGAGTGAACAACACCAATAGCTTGTTAAACACTTTAACAAGGAAGACAAGAATAATGTGGCTAACATGGCAAGTAATATCGATAAAACTGGTACTTTGATTGTTGACACAGGTGCACTAGAGCACATGATAGGTGATTATTATCTTCTAGAAGGATATATATATATATATATATATATATATATATATATATATATATATATAACGATGATGAGCCACTTGTCATCATACCCAATGACGATTATATTTCAAAAAGGGAAAGGAAATTTCGTTTTACCTAATGGAGTCAAGATTGCCAAAGTTTTATACATTCAAAAGTTTAATTGCACTTTGTTATCTATTAGTCGAATGACAAAGGATCTAAATTGTTATATAACTTTTTTTCCTGGATTTATTTATTGTGTAGGATTTGCAGACGAGGAGTTTGATTGGAGAGGGGCAATGTGATAAGGGTTTATATCGGATGGGAATG